TACAGACATTCAACTTCTTGTTTCAATTTACTTTCTATCCACCCAGAAAAACATGAGAAACCAACACTCTTCGTTTCTTTACTCAAAACAGTGATGTTTATATACATTAGTTTACAGAAACGTGTGATAAAGGCACAGTGATTTGAAGCGTTTCTGATACTTCATTTACTGTACGTTAACGTTGTGGCTCAAACATTCACTAATGAATTCTTTGATCATACTTGTCCAAAGGATTTTTGGGCAGGAAGTGAAACCAGATCAAGGACACGAACATGAGCTGTAGGCTTGGTTACCAAGTAAAGGTAACAGCAAAATCAATAATTTGCTACGTCCTGGAACATTACAAGGTTCCGTTAGCTAACGAAATATTGTGTTCTACAGACATGGGTAGATTTAGAATATCGCCATACTGTTTTGAATGCTGGTCTGAAACAACAACTTTCCTGCTTTTGTGCTTTAACGCTCTCTTACCTTTGTGGTAGCGTTTAAATGATGTTTACCAGTCTAGGTTTTTTGTATATTTTGTCACTTTATCTACTAACTCTTTCATCATACCTGTTCAACACTGCTCATAGAATCGCGTGTTTTCTCAAGAAATATATATTGAGGGACCTAGGTTCAATTAAATAACCGTAATTGCATTTGTTTTGTTCTGGTACTCGTATTCGTGAGATTGCCTAATGACAATCAGGATTAAAAATTTGCTTCAAAATTCAGAGTTCGTAGAATTATCAATATCTGCAGGCTGATTTAGGCGTTCACTTTACGTCGTGATAATGGTAGTAGTTTATCCTCTGTAAAGCCATCACGCGATATCGCCTCTCTCGCTTTTTACAACGTTGAAAAGGCGTTAGATCTCGAGGACGTTTTACATCTTTAAACCAGACTGATGTAGCTAGTATGTTTGCTTGAAAAGACAAAATGTTTGGTGTCGTTATAGCAGCCAAATTTGAAAACAAGAGCATGACATTTCACCGGATTGTTGATGATCTACCTGACTTGACAAGTGACATTTGCATACCACACGCTTGAAGACAGATGAGCCTTAGTTTAGTTCAGCATGTTCGGTCATGCAGATAATATGCAATATGTGTAGGAAAACACCAGCCTTTTCATAACTTCTTCATTTGTGATGTCTGACATTTAAGCTTCATTAGATGATACTATTGCTTATGCTGTGTTGTCATACGTTGATATAGTACCTTTTATATCGACCATTCCCATTGTTGATATTCTAACTGAAGAGGTGGGGGGTTTATCATGCAGAATACTGACTAAAGATGACAAAATTTGTGAATAAGAGGTGTAGGATTCATAAAATGAAAGTTCGATTCTTCAAGTGATAGATTCATCAGGCATTTGATTAACAGATTTCGACATTTTGTGTGGATTAGATATTGGTGATATATTTCTCTTACTGCAGTTACTGGTCATCTGTGGAAATGGTATGTGATTATTGCCTGCCTAAATACCGCAGTTATATAAGGGTAAAGCTTGTTGTGCAATAATTGGCTAGTACTAAAATCAGTATAAGTTAGGAAATACTTTATGGATTAGGTGTTGAGGTATTCATTGTAAGAATTACAGTCAGTCGATAAGTATATTTAAACTAAAGTATTCAGTAGTAAAGGAAGTTAGGAATTTTTAGGAGCGAATTTCCCTCGATATAACAAACGATTGAATAATATCAGTACAGTACCGAAATTCAAGGTTATCTTTCACTTAATGCACTTGTGAACTATCTGCTGAGTTATGTAATAATGCCCTAATATATCCTCATGTTTTTCCACTCACACGAATCACAACGCTTATTTCCTTTTGAACGTCGACTACGGTTTGAGTATTCATTGTACGGTCCTGGACGATAGATAACTGATTGTTTCTGGTTGTCACGTCAGATGTCATCGTCGTTAACAGTAACTAGTGGGAGCGTTGTTCTGCACAATCGTCTACAATCGCAATCCCTTTCGTCGTACGTCCAATATACACCCATGTCGTGGGAGCAGATGGTCCCCTAATATGTAATCAGTTATGCATTGTACAGACTTGATGACCAGGTTATTGATCTTCCATTCTGACCCAGCTTCGTCAGCGTTTGGCGTAAATAGTAATATATTTTCCAACCCAACGATTTGGTCGTTTACTGTGGTGCTATGCATTCGTCAATCCGTCCGTTTCACGATAATGCCAATAAACCACAGTAACATTCTGAATGCAGACGAAGTTCATTGAATTTTGAATTTCGTTTGAATCTCAGGAAACTGAGTTTCGTTATTTAATCAGGCTCACCAACTTTGTAGTGATGACTGTTCAGTATCTTCCGTTGAAACGGAACGCGAATTATTAATTTTTGTTCTAAATACATATTGAGTGATGTAAATATTAGATATAACACAAATGTATATTGACGAAAATGTTATCAAATTATTTAAAAAGTGAACCAATAAAGCTAATGAAATGACTTTGTAAGCAATGAGCATGAACACATGCGAGTTGGTGAAATATGACAGTCAACTGATCTGATTACAGAAGCTCATTGATTAGTAGTATAGAAACTTGACAAAGCAAACGAACTAGCCGTCGCCACATGACATTTTTCATAACATTTCAAAATAATTTAGAGGTTGGATATCTTTTCGATGTGCTTACCTACCGCTTATTGACCTAATAAATATGTGATATTCGAGTGTCTTAGTTCATAGTTCCATAACATTTCGACATACAAATTTACGTAAGACATTGATATTATATGTATGAAATCCTAACGGTTGAACCATCCAGCCCCATGGATGGAACCTGGTCAGACTCATCTTCCTAAGGTGCAGATCACGATTTCGCAAAAAAATGAGAGGGTTTCATACCTGAAGTTACTTTAGAGAAGTATTGATTAAAACTTGTATTTGACAAACGCCGATGATGGTAATCTTCTAATGCGTACATCACTGAAAGAAATATATTTTGGTTCAGTATTTATACTACTACTAAGTAGTCGAAAAATGAGTTGTAGCCGCAAGCCATAGGTTACTGATCAGGGATGAAATCGGACGTAAGGATACAGGTACATGAAGCGAATAAGCTGAAAATAGGATTTAATGGACACTATGAACTCTGCTTTCAACCATTTTTCAACTTTATTTACACGGCTGCTCCCTTATAATCTTACAGTAAAATAGATAATTTATGAAAATCCGAAGGGTTGCTAAAACTATGAGTATTATGAAAAAATATTTTTGAAAAATTTATTACACTATTCTCTGTGTAAACTGCTGCATAATAAATACACACATAAATGTAAGCAGGTTTTAATCAAGAGATTCGAAATGGCTCACCTGCTTAATGAATGTGTGAAAGAAGAGAGCTTTATTATTGATGATTTTATCGATTTGTTTATAGTGGACAGAACCAAATAAACAGAAAATAGTTAACATGAAATGAGAGCTTCACTTGATCAGACTTTCTTACCAGTGGCTAAAACCTGTCAGATATGAGTTAAAATGAATCTTTTCAATCATATGGTATATGTATAGGTATATTTAGCCTTAGATACATTAAAAGTTTCAAGTACATTGAAAGCACAAACGCTTGCACACATTTATTCCTTAGTATACACATAGGCATATCTGTTCCTTAAGGAATTAGAAGGCCAAAAACGTCTTGGACGTATTTCCTTTCATAGATTGTCACCGAAGTGCTACATAGATATCATGGACTTTCCTTCCTAAACTTCAATATATACACTTCGGCACAAACAATTTCAAGAAATTCAAAGGTTTCTGGTTATCTGTTTGCAGTATTTGCTTGTAGCACCTCACATATATCTTGTACTTTTAACATTGTTCAGCTTGTATGCGCATATGCGCTTGAGCATTATTTGCCACCTACACAAATAGTCTTCGACTAGCTGTATCAATTATCAGTTTGAATAATTCGATGTCAATATCGACTATACACATTTGAATGAAATCCGATAGTTGTATCGATCATTAAATAATTTGAATAATAAAGAGATTGTGGCGACGACTCGTGTTCTCTCGTAGCGATAATCAAGACGGAGATGAACGGGAAATCAAAGTTAACGAAAGTCTAACGCCACATGCTAGCCAAGTTATAATTTATCTATTTTCTGTCGTTTTTGTTAGACTTTGATTCTTTGTTATAGGGCAGACTTTATAGTGTAAATTTCTTCGTTTCTGAAGCCACGAACATACCTTTTGCATATACATTCACACAGAAAATACATGAGTTCAAGCTGATGCAATTCACATATGCAAGCAAACACATTTGACTCAGTTCAAATTGTATAGTTAACATCAACGCTCAAATATTTGTCAATACAGTTAAAGTATTTCCTTGAGGACAAAGTTTTTCTTTAACATGCTAAAAGCAAAAGCATTTTGCAAAATAGATCAAACTGCAAGTGCATTTGTATATAATCATTTAGTTCATTATTTTTGAAATTTTTAGTTGTGTCAACACTTTATAAAGAATTACCTTTTACGCATTACCAGAGATAAAAGAATGAACCATTTTGTTGGTACAGAAATTATTATGATGGATTACATTTAATTTTATGAATGTTAGTTTACAGGTAGTTACAAAGCGTTGACAAATAAACCAAGTACACTGTCAAACATTCTGACATCATTTAGGGCCCAATTACGTTGTTTGTCAGAGCAACATTGCTCAACAGTACTTGAGAAACACACAAGTAATCCATATCAATTTACTTTTAATCGAGAATCTGTGTATTCCAACTCATGTTGACTGTGTATATGTGACTGTCAAACAATGTGGACTACGTAAAGGGTGATATTATTACGGGAAATAAAATAATCTCTATAAATCAGATTCAAAGATTTCTTACATTTTATTTGGGCGCATATTTATTAACAAATAAACAACAAGAGTAGTTTGAACATGAACTCATTTTTTTTCATTTAACTACTTCGTCACTGAATTTTAAAACTATCTCTAATTCATCATATAGTTCACATAGAACCATGAATGATTATCAGACAGTTGTTTTGATCAGTATGTGTTTAGCACGAAATTATTGATATTATTTGAAACAACACTGTAACCAGATAAATTCGTCGATGTTTGTTTCATGAATGACACACTGATCGAAAAGATTCATGATTCAGAATCTTAGCTTCAGTTTCGCTACATCAGCACTTACTGATTTGGCTATCGCTTTCCTCTCAAGCTTCTACTAGCATAACACCTGGATAGGCTGATAGAATAATCGGTTTACAGTTAATAAAAAACAACTTTCCTGTCTTATTGTTTCAATGTGTATGCAATTTTTTCAACTCAGCTTTTGGTTCAATCTGAGCATAAGCTTTCAATACTGAAACGTCATTTGTAACTGAAACGTTCATTACTGATATACATGATCCTCATCAAACCGAAACACATAAGAAGTAAGAAAGTATACAGTAAACACACTACTTAAACGGAAATAGAATGTAATAAAGTGTATTAATTCGACTAGCAGTAATAAGGAAATAGGAAGAACGATACTAACAATAACTGAAAAGTCTGAAGAAAACTGACAAAACTACAAACAAAGAGAAAGAATCATGCATCCATAAGATTACCAAATACTCAGATGATAGTAAGAGAGGTAAAAGCGATAATTGACTTGAGGAGCGGGAAAATGGTCACAAAGTACGGTTCATTGCCAATACATGAAAGTAGCGAAGTGGCTGAAATAAGGATGGCAACGGACGTCTCGACCAAGAAACCTAACGTTAACGAGTTATGCGCAAAGTATGCGAAACTGTTCACTGGAGATGGGGAGCCGTATGGATTTTGTGACAAAGTAAAGCATGAAATTCCTATAAAGAACGACCGAGTAAATATATTTACAACACGTCGTGTCCCGGTGCATTTAGAGGCCGAGGTAAATCGACAGGTCCAGGAAATGTTGAAGGAAGGTATAATTGAGGAAGCAGACAGCCCGTATAGCTCACCGGTACTCTTGGTAAAGAAACCCAATGGAAAGTATAGATTTTGCGTCGACTTTATAGAACTGAATAATATAACTGACCTGAAACCGTGCGCAATGCCAACAGCAGTAAAAACATTAGATCGACTACAGAATGCCACGGTGTTTACAGTGCTGGATTTACGGTCAGGTTATCGGCAACTACCTATAAAAGATAGCGATCGCAACAAGACAGCATTTACTATACGGGATAAACAATATCAATTTAAACGAATGCCGTTCGGGTTGGCTGGTGCACCGTTCGAGTTCAGAAGTTTGATGACACTGCTGCTTAAGAATCTAGATAATGTTGAGGTATATGGCGATGATGTAGTTGTATACAGCCCGACGGAAACAGATCACGTCAAGCATGTGGAAGCAGTCTTAAAGCGAATTGACGAATTTGGGCTTCGAATTAATAAGGAAAAGTCGCAGATAGCGAAAAACAGCGTCATATTGTTGGGACATAAAGTGGGAAACGGAGAAATAAAGCCATTACCAGAGAAAATTCTTACCATAAAAAATATTGCAGTACCTAATTTGAAAAGGAAGTTGAGACAGTTCCTGGGAAGAGCGGTGTTCTATAGTCGGTTTGTCAAGAATTTCAACGAAATAGCAGCGCCCTTATATAAGTTGCTGAGCAACACCAAGTTTACATGGACTGAGGCTGCCGAACAAACGTTCAACCGAATCAAAAACATGCTAGACGATCGTCAGATGACGCTGAGACTGCCTGAACCCGGTAAACTGTTTACAGTGGCCACAGATGCAAGTGATCATGGTATAGGTGCGGTATTGAGTCAGGCTGATAGAGTGGTTGGATACGCAAGTCGCGTTCTCACACCCGCCGAATAGAAGTATTCAACGATCGAAAAGGAGTGCCTAGCAATCGTGTGGGCAGTAGAGAAATGGAGACCGAACCTTTTAAGTAGACGATTTCACATTGAGACTGACCATAAACCCCTGCAGTGGTTGAGAACAGCAAGAGACACCCGAGGGAAGTTGGCGCGGTGGATGATACGTCTGCAAGAATACGACTTCAGTATCGGCCATGTTCCAGGGAAAGAAATCGTAATGGCGGATTACTTGTCAAGATCAGACATGGAAGATGACCTTCCAGTGACAGCATACGCTGTTGCCCCACCTGTGTTCTCATTCACATTCACTTCGAATTCATTTTCCATAGTCACTTTCACATGACTGGTATATTAACAGGGATTTCATCAGTTTAATTCTGTTCATTAGAAGGAGATCAATCGAGTGATCGTGTTCTCACGTGACCATGAAATAAAACATCAATACAACAGCTCACATAAATATTGATGTATATATTTTTACAGAAACTAAAACGAATATTACCTTGTGAAATTTCAACTTAATCAAAGCCAACATTATTGATTCTGCTGAATGTTAACAAGCCACAGTCGAACACGAACTGCTTTTCATATTGATAAACAGTTTTAATTTGAGTAGCAATAAATACTCTGTGTGAAAATACTTGTGTGAATTCTGTGAACCATAGTCAGTCAATCAATCAATAGCGAGCTAGAACGTCGTACGTACGTACGTACATCAGTTCATGTTGCCACACAACATTATCACAGAGATGCAATTGTCAATTCAACTACCATAGTAGCAGATGTAGTAAAACTATCGGAGAAATTAGGGTTAGGAGATATAATGCAGGAGGTAGAATATAGCCAAATAAATTCAAAAAGATAAAGATAAAGTGATGAGGAATGAAAACGTTTAGGATTTGAGAGAACACAAAGCGTGAATGCAACATTTCAAACGGTTTAGAGCACGTCTTTCAAGGTCTCAAGCCATATATTACTATCATCCTCCAGACACCAACCAGGTAGTCGACACCTCCACTTGTCAGTGACTTCATGGATTTCTCCCATTTTTTGTTTTGGTCACCCTAGCTTTCTTTCAACCTATTTCATTGCCAAAAAACATCATTTGTTGGTTGGGCATACATACCACATGTCCCAACAAACTCAACTGATTAAGTTTTAATACTTAATCAATAGATCTGCCATACCTTCCTACCCCTCGTTTCCCAATGACAGCATTTTTTACTCGGTTGTCCCGTGATATACGAGCAGTGTTTCGAAGACAACAGAGATCGAAAACAAATAACCTACTAGTATGTTCTTCTCCAACTGACCATGTTTCACAGCCACAAAGCGGGACGGAGTGAACGGAGCAGATCCGTCCTTTATTGAGCAAATGGATATCCTGACTACGACATAGGTGACGCAGGGTGACATAAGCTAATCGAGCTTTCTCTGTCGGTGTCGAGATTGGATCTGCCACCAGGCCATCGGCACTGATGAGACTCCCGAGATAAGTGAAAAGGTCTACCCGCTCGACTATATCACTCCCTATCACTAGTTCAGGTGCCGATGCAGCCCAGTTTTGGAGCAACGTTTTGCATTTCAACTGAGTAAACCGCATCCCAAACATGCTTGCATTGCTGCTCAGGGTGGTCAGAAGAATCCACATTTTGTCAGCGTCTTCACCCTTTAGAACTATTTATCAGTATATTCTAAGTCAACAAGCAATTTTCCTGGTGAAACGTCGACTCCTGAAAATTCAGACTAGGATAAGGTTATATCTGGGAGCATGCCTATGAGATATTTGAACAGGAATCGGGAAAGTGGACATCCCTGACGCACACCACTTGAAGTAATCAATTCCGATGACAGTTAGCCATAAGTTCTCACTCGATCTGTAGTGTTCCAGTAGGGAGCTTGTGTATGGTTAATGTATTTCTTTGGTACAAATTTTATGACACTCAGTCGCAGAAACTCACGATCAACATAGTCAAATGACTGTGATTTAGTTCCGGCACCAATCCTAATGTAGAAACATTGTTCATACAGCCACGTCGAAGTCTGAAACCAACCTGGTTTTCACTAGTATGCTATTAACGATCTCAAGTAAGCGACTTTGCATAAAATAAGCTAAATATTTTGAAACTATATTAGCTAGACTTATTCCCTTGTGATTGTCACCGGAAGACTTTCGTTCTTTCTTATAATTTGAGACAATCAGGTACTGAGACCAGTCGAATGGATTTTCATCCAGTTACCAGACTCTACCTGAGATCTAGCTGCTACAAATCTCAGGGGCCAATCTATCAGGACCTGCTGCTCTCTCCAGCTTCAGATTTTTAATCGCTTTCTCAACTTCATAAAGACTAAGAGGAATTATGTAGGTTTCCCATTTAGGATGACTGGGGATCGTGGGAAACCGAAGTCCGGCTGAACACCAGTTGAACTGATCCCTGAAGCTTTCTGCCCATCGTTCCAGTCCCCTGAACTGAGAATGGATAATAAGACCATCCTTTTCGTAATAGTCTCACTCACATTCGGGTTCCTAATACCAGTTTCCCTGATAAGTCTGAATAGTTGCGTGTTTGCTAGAAATAGGCCATTATCTGAGTATACCTGCACTAAGTGACATTTTACTCGGATCTTTTATGCGCATTTGGGAGACGCAACGTACATCCGTTGCACGGGATTCCAGAATTCTAGCTTATGAATCCTGTTGCCCTGTTTGATATAAGGTTCGAACATGAAAGCTACAATTTAGTATGGTGCTCCAAGATATCAAGATGTTTCGAGAACTCATACAATTCGCTTCAGTGACATGAGATGATAAACAGTCGAAAGAAGGGTAATGTAACTGTTAGGAAAGTTATTAAGTTGTGAAGAAAGGATCTCATTGTAATCAATTTGGTCATGTGTGCTTTTTTGGGTTTGAGGACAGATGTATTTTATTAGATGTCATATATTCGTTCAGTCGAAATCCATAAAAGGTAAACCGAAGTGGGTTATATGACTAACCCAACTATGCAATCAAGCCAAAACATAAAAAGATGACCAACTGAGGAATATGCTTTAGTCATTGATTCGAATGTAAAATGTTCGACTTGTTAAAAAATGTTGTTCCTGTATAATCATAACATTATATTCTAATTTGTGTTTTACGATATGGATTTCGTTATTGATAAATCAAAAAGAAAATATTTTAACGCATTATCAAACTTCTGAGAATTATCCATTATATTCTACCTTAATAAAATATGAATGAATTAAAGGTTTATTCAGACACCGGGACCTATTATTTCAAAAAACATCTACTCTATTTGATTTATAGACATATATTAAATTTGGTTTACAATTATCGACAAGATATTTCAGTATGATTTTAATTTTCAGATAGATAAAAGATGAAACAATGAAGAGCGCTATTATATTCTGAAATTGATTCACTGTATTCTAAATTATAAAATGAGCTCAAATTCCTGAATATTTCAGACATCGCAACCTGATATCTTTTACTAAACTTTTATTCTCTCTGATTAGAGATAGACAATGAAATTGTTCTTTTTTCAACATTTATATTCACTAGTTTATTCAATTCAGAAAAATAAAATATAAAATAACGTAATTAAAATTACCTACTTAATTACTTTCCTTGTTAATTATTTAACTACTTACGTCGGGGGATTCAGTCTTGCACTGTCATCAATCGGCATCACAATCAACTCCAGCTCTGTTATATAATAGTTCTTACGTCCTTCGTGGTCCTTCTGAACATTTAATTGTTGCAAATATGTTAGAGTCGGAGCAGCATAGTGTGATCCAATGGAATCCAGATCCTCTTGTAAATTTGATTGTGCCGTAAAATGGTGACGCCAATGACCAGTTTAAAGAAAACACGTAATTTTTCTAACCCCCTCTATTTTCTGACGGCCCAAGTTATCTCGTTATGTCTTCTTCGACAACTACAACTTCCTATACACTTGTTCGTTATCGGCCTCGTTCTTATTGTCGTTAGGTACGCAGCAATAAATGATATTCATTTTACTCTCATATTGCCTTCATTTTGAAGCTGCTTTTATTGTGGCCGAGTGCTTAACATGCACATCTTTGTTATATATTTTATGCATATTTCAAGAGAATCTGTATAAATTTCTAAGAACCCAACTAATCGTAGCTCTTCTTTTCAGATTACACATCTGCTTCGTGCCTTTTTTGAGTATATTCAGCTTACATCATGATACATCACAACTTTCCAAATCAAATGTCATTGATGAAGGTTAAGTGGTTTGTGTTATTAGATTTAATGGCAAGAGTGATCAATCCTATGCCTAATTCACCCCACTAATTTAGTCTTCTTACCGGCAGTACCATCAGAAATGCTTCAGGAAGAGTTAGATATGATTAACAAAACTTTATTCTATCTGATTTAAGATAGATAATAAAATTCGTTTACAATTAATGACAGTATTTTTGAATATTGTTTTCATTTTAGTTAAATAAAAGATCAAACAATGAAGTGCGCTATTATGTTGCGAAATTAATTCACTGTATACTAAATTATAAAATGAGCTCAAATTCGTGAATATTTCAGACATCGCGACCTAATATCGTTTATCAAAATTTTGTTCTTTTATAAAAAAATTGTTGTTTTTTTCAACAGTGTGTTATTCAGAATTTAATTTATTAAAGATAAATGAAATCTAAAATAATCGGAAGCACTATTATATTTCAGGAATTTATTTTATTTTATTATACGTTGAAACCAGATGAAGCAATTTCTGATATTGTCGGACTGCCTGACCTCATATATATGTTATTTTATTTCAATTCAGTTTATTGGCATAAAAAAAAACTCGTTTATATATAAATAGGCAGATTTTTAAAAAGAGCTTTATAATTATCTGTTTCAAACACAAGATGATGTCGAAGCAACAGAAAATTATCGTCGCTGTTATAGTACTCATTTCCCTAGGTTTAATTCTGACCGGAACATTACTTTTAGTATATTTACAGAAAAAGGCATCAACCAGTATGTTTATTTTAAAATTTCATTAGTTTACTGTATTACCATTTGACACTTTATACACAAAATCAGAGATAGTGAATTTATTTATGAGAAAACGAGTAATATTTCTTTGAAAGATAACCATACAAAATGATTAAAACAACTGAGCTAGAATCAAGAAACAGTATAACATATAAATACAAAGCATCAAGCTACGAATTTGAACGAAATATTCGAATCAACAATAATCTGTAAAAAGTATTATTTTTTTTAAAATTATAGATATCGAACCGACGAAAACAAATATATCAAGCTTGACGGACACAAATACCGATGCAGGTGAGTATAGCCGTAAACGGAAAGTCAACGGGTGACCGCGTTACGATAAACAAATGTAAGACAGATGCAGAGGTGCACACATACATTCTGAGGAACCGCATTCATGAATCTCGAAATTTCTTGATATTGATTCCTGATGAAAAATTGTAGGAAATAAGCGGCTACATATGAACCTATTAGCTCATAAAGATTGGAGGATTACAAACATATATTCAGATAGGAAAAAGTAATATACCGTCTGGAAAATTCGTAGTATATTTTGATCCAGTCTTCAGAGTATGTGACGGAAAAGACTGAGCCACATAAAGATCCTGTGTTCTGAAAAAAAAGTCAAACCAACATAAGTGAGCACATAAATTCGAGTGAAATACTTGCTTCGTCAATGTGTAAACAGACCTATTATTAGTGCATATTTTATTCATCTCTCTTCCATTCCAGTTGACCCAGCAGCACCGATTACACAACCACCTGACCAGCCTGATGTGAAAACTGATGCAGGTGAGTGTGTGCACTTAGTTTACAAAATATATGGCGTTACAATTGATATTCTGTAAACCGAGTGGTTGATGAATGATTCAGTGCATTGAGACATGTCTATCATCCGCATTCATTCATCTCACAATTTGTTGATATCGCTTACTGCAGAATATTGTGGTTTCTCGATTCTTTTGAGCCTGTCTAGGAGTTACATAATAGTAAGAGTCATTTGACAGTATATTCAGTTAAGATAAATCTCTCATGCTCTCATAAAAGCTCGTAGTGATTTTCCATATGCTCTTGATAGTTTGTGATGCAGCATATCGTTTCACGGTGTAACTCGCACACAGCTTAGTGCATGACGATATGAATTCGAGTGAAATATTTGTTTCACCACTCTGTTAACTAACCTATTACTAGTGCGTATTTTATTCGCCTTACCTCAATTCATCTAGTCACGACACCACCTGTTACGGCTGACCAAATTCCGATTGTGCCGAAAACTGAACCTGGTGAGTTTACGCGATACTAATCTGTATGTATTTGTCTATAATCTAAAGTTTATTGTCTTTTCAATCTTCAACTTTTCTATTTCTGTCTACTGTAAAACATTTCATTTAACCACATATTTCCTTTACCTGAAACTATCAGGCTTGCATAAAATCTCGCAGTTATTTTCCATGTTCTCTTGATTGTTTGTGATGCAAACGACTGAGCTAGATATGGATGCTGTTGTGTGAACAACAATGTCAAGCAAACATAACTTACTTCTTTATTTTGTTAACGAATTTACATATCAAACGCCTCAAAGAGAGCAACCAGCCGCTCATTACACTCTGAGCAGGTCAATCATTCTCCTGATAGCGGTCGTTCGTATACATCTTGCCACCGATTTCCCCCATCACAACAAAATTATTACCGAATGGTTGACACAGTATGCGGTTTTATTTCAGTCTGTAAGAGATATTATTAGTGCCAGTGTGGTGCGCGCTACTTATGAGTAGTAAAGGACGCGGGTGTAAACGTAATGTCTGGCAGCAGAAGATGGGGGAAGATCAAGTAAGGAGGAGTGGGAACACAATTGAATCACTATGAAATCTATGAATAAAATAATGTGAGACAATGGATTGATGATGGATTGAAGATTTGCAAATTAACGGTCACGATATGTTTTTCCTATTTTACTGAGTAAATCTGTAATTTTCGTTAAGTACAGTTCGGTTGCCCTCTTCTGTCTCCTTCACTACTTTTGGTGTCGCTGCATGCACGAAGGAATGATCTCCCGTGTTCGAAGGAGTTTGAGGACGGAGATTTGCGAGGCCTCCTAGAGGAGTTTGGAGCCGTGGTGGTGCTGTTGGGTGTGAGGTGTCCCGAGGCGGAGTTGGTGATGCTGGGGACGCTTCGGGGAGGGGAGCCAAAAGCTGTATAGGACAGCGTGGACGGTGCCGCCGGGAAGACGACGTGCGAGACGGTCATGGAGCGAATAGTGACGGAGTTCTTCAGCCCAGTGGAAAGAGAGGAGGCGCCGGAGAGGTTCCGGTTGTTGAGGTTGTCTGTCGATTGTGACTAACTGGTGCTGGCTGTGGAGCTCACGATGTTGCTGCGCCGAGCGCTGCCGAGTATGGATGGGGAGTCGGAGGCACAGTTGTTGGCGTCACAATTTATCGAGAGAGTGCCTGCCGCCGTGTCCCAGCAGCGGGAACTAGTAAACGCTACACGTTGGATAGATGCCGTATCCATTCCAGAACAGTGCTCAAGAACAATGACCGAAGTGGTACTCCGGCATATTGTAGCGCGTCACGGAATACGGAAGGTGATATTACCTGACCAGGGTCCCTGTTTTGAAAGTGACGAGAATAAAGCCCATATAAAGCAGTTGAGCATCAAGAGGATACGAACTACACCGTCTCATCCGCAGACAAACGGGCTTACAGAGAGGAACAACCGGACGTTAAAGAGAGGGTTAGCATCTATAGGAGGAGGTTGGGAATAACAGTTACAATTGATTTTGCTGATCCCAAAGTGTGAAGGACCGAACGTTATCACGGAGAGACGCGGCACGTTTTACACTATCCGGAGAGAAGACAAGCAGAAGCGCGTAAATGCTAGTCAACTGCAGAGATGGTTTCAAGATTATCAAGTGTATGAGTCACGAAAAGCGCCAAAGATGACGACGGTGCGGCTGTAGTGAACAAGAACACAGGTGGGGCAACCGAATTGTATTTAACGAAAATTACACAGTTACTCAGTAAAATCGGAAAACAATATCGTAAATCGTTCATTTGCAAAATATCAGTTCATCATATCAAACTTGACTGTTCCTGTTGCAAAACATCAATCCATTGTCACTATTCATGCGTTTCATACAAATTCCATTGTTTTCTAACTCTTCCTTTCTTGATCTTCTCCCATCTTCTGCTGCCAGACATTACTTTAACGCTCACGTCATATACAACTTATAAGTAACTCGAACCGTGCGGCAATCAGAAAGACCATGACGACAGCTTATTAAAAAGGGGGACGGCTGTGGTGCGCGCTAATCATAAGTAGTATATGAGGCGAGTGTATACGTAATGTCTGGCAGCAGAAGATAGCGGAAAGATCAAGTAAGGAAGAGTGGGAACACAATGGGATAGGTATGAAATCCATGAATAATCAAATATGAGACAATGGATTGAAGATTTGCAAATTAACGGTTACGATATGCTTTTCATAATTTACTGAGTGACTCTGTAATTTTCGTTAAATAAAATTCGGTTGCCCTCACATGTGATTTTCTTCACTACACCAGCACACTATTATTTCGTGCTTGAATCCACGAAGGTGAACTGGCACGAACTATTTAGTATCAAAGTAATTATAACTTGATGACGCTACTTTCAACCCATTTTCATCTTTGCGAATTTGCAAAATGTGTTACAACGTAACTCAACAGACTGCTTGTATCAGGATTCCAGATAACCGTACTCTGTAGCCGTAAACCTGATGTGCTTCTAATAGCCACGTTTGTAGCAGATCGATTCACGGTGTAACTCGCACACAGCTTGGTGCCTGACGCTATGAACTCGAGTGAAATACTTGCTTCGTCAATGTGTAAACAGACCTATTATTAGTGCATATTTTATTCATCTTTCTTCCATTCCAGTTGACCCAGCAGCACCGATTACACAACCACCTGACCAGCCTGATGTGAAAACTGATGCAGGTGAGTGTGTGCACTTAGTTTACAAAATATATGGCGTTACAATTGATATTCTGTAAACCGAGTGGTTGATGAATGATTCAGTGCATTGAGACATGTCTATCATCCGCATTCATTCATCTCACAATTTGTTGATATCGCTTACTGCAGAATATTGTGGTTTCTCGATTCTTTTGAGCCTGTCTAGGAGTTACATAATAGTAAGAGTCATTTGACAGTATATTCAGTTAAGATAAATCTCTCATGCTCTCATAAAAGCTCGTAGTGATTTTCCATATGCTCTTGATAGTTTGTGATGCAGCATATCGTTTCACGGTGTAACTCGCACACAGCTTAGTGCATGACGATATGAATTCGAGTGAAATATTTGTTTCACCACTCTGTTAACTAACCTATTACTAGTGCGTATTTTATTCGCCTTACCTCAATTCATCTAGTCACGACACCACCTGTTACGGCTGACCAAATTCCGATTGTGCCGAAAACTGAACCTGGTGAGTTTACGCGATACTAATCTGTATGTATTTGTCTATAATCTAAAGTTTATTGTCTTTTCAATCTTCAACTTTTCTATTTCTGTCTACTGTAAAACATTTCATTTAACCACATATTTCCTTTACCTGAAACTATCAGGCTTGCATAAAATCTCGCAGTTATTTTCCATGTTCTCTTGATTGTTTGTGATGCAAACGACTGAGCTAGATATGGATGCTGTTGTGTGAACAACAATGTCAAGCAAACATAACTTACTTCTTTATTTTGTTAACGAATTTACATATCAAACGCCTCAAAGAGAGCAACCAGCCGCTCATTACACTCTGAGCAGGTCAATCATTCTCCTGATAGCGGTCGTTCGTATACATCTTGCCACCGATTTCCCCCATCACAACAAAATTATTACCGAATGGTTGACACAGTATGCGGTTTTATTTCAGTCTGTAAGAGATATTATTAGTGCCAGTGTGGTGCGCGCTACTTATGAGTAGTAAAGGACGCGGGTGTAAACGTAATGTCTGGCAGCAGAAGATGGGGGAAGATCAAGTAAGGAGGAGTGGGAACACAATTGAATCACTATGAAATCTATGAATAAAATAATGTGAGACAATGGATTGATGATGGATTGAAGATTTGCAAATTAACGGTCACGATATGTTTTTCCTATTTTACTGAGTAAATCTGTAATTTTCGTTAAGTACAGTTCGGTTGCCCTCTTCTGTCTCCTTCACTACTTTTGGTGTCGCTGCATGCACGAAGGAATGATCTCCCGTGTTCGAAGGAGTTTGAGGACGGAGATTTGCGAGGCCTCCTAGAGGAGTTTGGAGCCGTGGTGGTGCTGTTGGGTGTGAGGTGTCCCGAGGCGGAGTTGGTGATGCTGGGGACGCTTCGGGGAGGGGAGCCAAAAGCTGTATAGGACAGCGTGGACGGTGCCGCCGGGAAGACGACGTGCGAGACGGTCATGGAGCGAATAGTGACGGAGTTCTTCAGCCCAGTGGAAAGAGAGGAGGCGCCGGAGAGGTTCCGGTTGTTGAGGTTGTCTGTCGATTGTGACTAACTGGTGCTGGCTGTGGAGCTCACGATGTTGCTGCGCCGAGCGCTGCCGAGTATGGATGGGGAGTCGGAGGCACAGTTGTTGGCGTCACAATTTATCGAGAGAGTGCCTGCCGCCGTGTCCCAGCAGCGGGAACTAGTAAACGCTACACGTTGGATAGATGCCGTATCCATTCCAGAACAGTGCTCAAGAACAATGACCGAAGTGGTACTCCGGCATATTGTAGCGCGTCACGGAATACGGAAGGTGATATTACCTGACCAGGGTCCCTGTTTTGAAAGTGACGAGAATAAAGCCCATATAAAGCAGTTGAGCATCAAGAGGATACGAACTACACCGTCTCATCCGCAGACAAACGGGCTTACAGAGAGGAACAACCGGACGTTAAAGAGAGGGTTAGCATCTATAGGAGGAGGTTGGGAATAACAGTTACAATTGATTTTGCTGATCCCAAAGTGTGAAGGACCGAACGTTATCACGGAGAGACGCGGCACGTTTTACACTATCCGGAGAGAAGACAAGCAGAAGCGCGTAAATGCTAGTCAACTGCAGAGATGGTTTCAAGATTATCAAGTGTATGAGTCACGAAAAGCGCCAAAGATGACAACGGTGCGGCTGTAGTGAACAAGAACACAGGTGGGGCAACCGAATTGTATTTAACGAAAATTACACAGTTACTCAGTAAAATCGGAAAACAATATCGTAAATCGTTCATTTGCAAAATATCAGTTCATCATATCAAACTTGACTGTTCCTGTTGCAAAACATCAATCCATTGTCACTATTCATGCGTTTCATACAAATTCCATTGTTTTCTAACTCTTCCTTTCTTGATCTTCTCCCATCTTCTGCTGCCAGACATTACTTTAACGCTCACGTCATATACAACTTATAAGTAACTCGAACCGTGCGGCAATCAGAAAGACCATGACGACAGCTTATTAAAAAGGGGGACGGCTGTGGTGCGCGCTAATCATAAGTAGTATATGAGGCGAGTGTATACGTAATGTCTGGCAGCAGAAGATAGCGGAAAGATCAAGTAAGGAAGAGTGGGAACACAATGGGATAGGTATGAAATCCATGAATAATCAAATATGAGACAATGGATTGAAGATTTGCAAATTAACGGTTACGATATGCTTTTCATAATTTACTGAGTGACTCTGTAATTTTCGTTAAATAAAATTCGGTTGCCCTCACATGTGATTTTCTTCACTACACCAGCACACTATTATTTCGTGCTTGAATCCACGAAGGTGAACTGGCACGAACTATTTAGTATCAAAGTAATTATAACTTGATGACGCTACTTTCAACCCATTTTCATCTTTGCGAATTTGCAAAATGTGTTACAACGTAACTCAACAGACTGCTTGTATCAGGATTCCAGATAACCGTACTCTGTAGCCGTAAACCTGATGTGCTTCTAATAGCCACGTTTGTAGCAGATCGATTCACGGTGTAACTCGCACACAGCTTGGTGCCTGACGCTATGAACTCGAGTGAAATACTTGCTTCGTCAATGTGTAAACAGACCTATTATTAGTGCATATTTTATTCATCTTTCTTCCATTCCAGTTGACCCAGCAGCACCGATTACACAACCACCTGACCAGCCTGATGTGAAAACTGATGCAGGTGAGTGTGTGCACTTAGTTTACAAAATATATGGCGTTACAATTGATATTCTGTAAACCGAGTGGTTGATGAATGATTCAGTGCATTGAGACATGTCTATCATCCGCATTCATTCATCTCACAATTTGTTGATATCGCTTACTGCAGAATATTGTGGTTTCTCGATTCTTTTGAGCCTGTCTAGGAGTTACATAATAGTAAGAGTCATTTGACAGTATATTCAGTTAAGATAAATCTCTCATGCTCTCATAAAAGCTCGTAGTGATTTTCCATATGCTCTTGATAGTTTGTGATGCAGCATATCGTTTCACGGTGTAACTCGCACACAGCTTAGTGCATGACGATATGAATTCGAGTGAAATATTTGTTTCACCACTCTGTTAACTAACCTATTACTAGTGCGTATTTTATTCGCCTTACCTCAATTCATCTAGTCACGACACCACCTGTTACGGCTGACCAAATTCCGATTGTGCCGAAAACTGAACCTGGTGAGTTTACGCGATACTAATCTGTATGTATTTGTCTATAATCTAAAGTTTATTGTCTTTTCAATCTTCAACTTTTCTATTTCTGTCTACTGTAAAACATTTCATTTAACCACATATTTCCTTTACCTGAAACTATCAGGCTTGCATAAAATCTCGCAGTTATTTTCCATGTTCTCTTGATTGTTTGTGATGCAAACGACTGAGCTAGATATGGATGCTGTTGTGTGAACAACAATGTCAAGCAAACATAACTTACTTCTTTATTTTGTTAACGAATTTACATATCAAACGCCTCAAAGAGAGCAACCAGCCGCTCATTACACTCTGAGCAGGTCAATCATTCTCCTGATAGCGGTCGTTCGTATACATCTTGCCACCGATTTCCCCCATCACAACAAAATTATTACCGAATGGTTGACACAGTATGCGGTTTTATTTCAGTCTGTAAGAGATATTATTAGTGCCAGTGTGGTGCGCGCTACTTATGAGTAGTAAAGGACGCGGGTGTAAACGTAATGTCTGGCAGCAGAAGATGGGGGAAGATCAAGTAAGGAGGAGTGGGAACACAATTGAATCACTATGAAATCTATGAATAAAATAATGTGAGACAATGGATTGATGATGGATTGAAGATTTGCAAATTAACGGTCACGATATGTTTTTCCTATTTTACTGAGTAAATCTGTAATTTTCGTTAAGTACAGTTCGGTTGCCCTCTTCTGTCTCCTTCACTACTTTTGGTGTCGCTGCATGCACGAAGGAATGATCTCCCGTGTTCGAAGGAGTTTGAGGACGGAGATTTGCGAGGCCTCCTAGAGGAGTTTGGAGCCGTGGTGGTGCTGTTGGGTGCGAGGTGTCCCGAGGCGGAGTTGGTGATGCTGGGGACGCTTCGGGGAGGGGAGCCAAAAGCTGTATAGGACAGCGTGGACGGTGCCGCCGGGAAGACGACGTGCGAGACGGTCATGGAGCGAATAGTGACGGAGTTCTTCAGCCCAGTGGAAAGAGAGGAGGCGCCGGAGAGGTTCCGGTTGTTGAGGTTGTCTGTCGATTGTGACTCACTGGTGCTGGCTGTGGAGCTCACGATGTTACTGCGCCGAGCGCTGCCGAGTATGGATGGGGAGTCGGAGGCACAGTTGTTGGCGTCACAATTTATCGAGAGAGTGCCTGCCGCCGTGTCCCAGCAGCGGGAACTAGTAAACGCTACACGTTGGATAGATGCCGTATCCATTCCAGAACAGTGCTCAAGAACAATGACCGAAGTGGTACTCCGGCATATTGTAGCGCGTCACGGAATACGGAAGGTGATATTACCTGACCAGGGTCCCTGTTTTGAAAGTGACGAGAATAAAGCCCATATAAAGCAGTTGAGCATCAAGAGGATACGAACTACACCGTCTCATCCGCAGACAAACGGGCTTACAGAGAGGAACAACCGGACGTTAAAGAGAGGGTTAGCATCTATAGGAGGAGGTTGGGAATAACAGTTACAATTGATTTTGCTGATCCCAAAGTGTGAAGGACCGAACGTTATCACGGAGAGACGCGGCACGTTTTACACTATCCGGAGAGAAGACAAGCAGAAGCGCGTAAATGCTAGTCAACTGCAGAGATGGTTTCAAGATTATCAAGTGTATGAGTCACGAAAAGCGCCAAAGATGACGACGGTGCGGCTGTAGTGAACAAGAACACAGGTGGGGCAACCGAATTGTATTTAACGAAAATTACACAGTTACTCAGTAAAATCGGAAAACAATATCGTAAATCGTTCATTTGCAAAATATCAGTTCATCATATCAAACTTGACTGTTCCTGTTGCAAAACATCAATCCATTGTCACTATTCATGCGTTTCATACAAATTCCATTGTTTTCTAACTCTTCCTTTCTTGATCTTCTCCCATCTTCTGCTGCCAGACATTACTTTAACGCTCACGTCATATACAACTTATAAGTAACTCGAACCGTGCGGCAATCAGAAAGACCATGACGACAGCTTATTAAAAAGGGGGACGGCTGTGGTGCGCGCTAATCATAAGTAGTATATGAGGCGAGTGTATACGTAATGTCTGGCAGCAGAAGATAGCGGAAAGATCAAGTAAGGAAGAGTGGGAACACAATGGGATAGGTATGAAATCCATGAATAATCAAATATGAGACAATGGATTGAAGATTTGCAAATTAACGGTTACGATATGCTTTTCATAATTTACTGAGTGACTCTGTAATTTTCGTTAAATAAAATTCGGTTGCCCTCACATGTGATTTTCTTCACTACACCAGCACACTATTATTTCGTGCTTGAATCCACGAAGGTGAACTGGCACGAACTATTTAGTATCAAAGTAATTATAACTTGATGACGCTACTTTCAACCCATTTTCATCTTTGCGAATTTGCAAAATGTGTTACAACGTAACTCAACAGACTGCTTGTATCAGGATTCCAGATAACCGTACTCTGTAGCCGTAAACCTGATGTGCTTCTAATAGCCACGTTTGTAGCAGATCGATTCACGGTGTAACTCGCACACAGCTTGGTGCCTGACGCTATGAACTCGAGTGAAATACTTGCTTCGTCAATGTGTAAACAGACCTATTATTAGTGCATATTTTATTCATCTTTCTTCCATTCCAGTTGACCCAGCAGCACCGATTACACAACCACCTGACCAGCCTGATGTGAAAACTGATGCAGGTGAGTGTGTGCACTTAGTTTACAAAATATATGGCGTTACAATTGATATTCTGTAAACCGAGTGGTTGATGAATGATTCAGTGCATTGAGACATGTCTATCATCCGCATTCATTCATCTCACAATTTGTTGATATCGCTTACTGCAGAATATTGTGGTTTCTCGATTCTTTTGAGCCTGTCTAGGAGTTACATAATAGTAAGAGTCATTTGACAGTATATTCAGTTAAGATAAATCTCTCATGCTCTCATAAAAGCTCGTAGTGATTTTCCATATGCTCTTGATAGTTTGTGATGCAGCATATCGTTTCACGGTGTAACTCGCACACAGCTTAGTGCATGACGATATGAATTCGAGTGAAATATTTGTTTCACCACTCTGTTAACTAACCTATTACTAGTGCGTATTTTATTCGCCTTACCTCAATTCATCTAGTCACGACACCACCTGTTACGGCTGACCAAATTCCGATTGTGCCGAAAACTGAACCTGGTGAGTTTACGCGATACTAATCTGTATGTATTTGTCTATAATCTAAAGTTTATTGTCTTTTCAATCTTCAACTTTTCTATTTCTGTCTACTGTAAAACATTTCATTTAACCACATATTTCCTTTACCTGAATCTCTCATGCTTGCATCAAATCTCGCAGTTAATTTCCATGTTCTCTTGATTGTTTGTGATGCAAACGACTGAGCTAGATATGGATGCTGTTGTGTGAACAACAATGTCAAGCAAACATAACTTACTTCTTTATTTTGTTAACGAATTTACATATCAAACGCCTCAAAGAGAGCAACCAGCCGCTCATTACACTCTGAGCAGGTCAATCATTCTCCTGATAGCGGTCGTTCGTATACATCTTGCCACCGACTTCCCCATCACAACAAAATTATTACCGAATGGTTGACACAGTATGCGGTTTTATTTCAGTCTGTAAGAGATATTATTAGTGCCAGTGTGGTGCGCGCTACTTATGAGTAGTAAAGGACGCGGGTGTAAACGTAATGTCTGGCAGCAGAAGATGGGGGAAGATCAAGTAAGGAGGAGTGGGAACACAATTGAATCACTATGAAATCTATGAATAAAATAATGTGAGACAATGGATTGATGATGGATTGAAGATTTGCAAATTAACGGTCACGATATGTTTTTCCTATTTTTACTGAGTAAATCTGTAATTTTCGTTAAGTACAGTTCGGTTGCCCTCTTCTGTCTCCTTCACTACTTTTGGTGTCGCTGCATGCACGAAGGAATGATCTCCCGTGTTCGAAGGAGTTTGAGGACGGAGATTTGCGAGGCCTCCTAGAGGAGTTTGGAGCCGTGGTGGTGCTGTTGGGTGTGAGGTGTCCCGAGGCGGAGTTGGTGATGCTGGGGACGCTTCGGGGAGGGGAGCCAAAAGCTGTATAGGACAGCGTGGACGGTGCCGCCGGGAAGACGACGTGCGACAGCTCTGATGCTCTTATTCACTCTCCTGTTTGCTTCTGTGTGTGCAGCTTGTGCGGTAACTATTTTTCTGCTCTGTTAGTGGACACCTACTGACACTACTCCGTCCACTTGTCAATGACTTCATAGCTCTGTGCCATCCTTCGGTCTAACAGCGTCTAGTTTTCTTCCAAGCTTTTACTATATCGCAGTCAGAATTTAGGCATGCGCAACACATGTCCCAAACACCTCAAATGATGAAGTTTCATTACTTCCTTTTTTGACCTACCATCCTCACTTCTTCAAGATTAACAACAGAGATCCATTACTTGTGATGGTACTTCCTGCGACCCAGGACTTCGTGACATGTTGAAGTGATCGCCTCTTTGATCCCTTTCCAATTTTTCTTCAATGTTGTGTTCTGTCCATGAGTAGATTGTGAAAGCCCTTTACCCTTTTGGAGAGGGCTATCTTGAATTCGTCAAGTTTCGCGGTATCCCGAAGAAAGGCTGTATTAGGCTTCTATGATGTCGTCTGATCCGTTGTCCAGTGCTTCCTTAGTTTCAGTTTCATTTTGGCGACCAGCAAGTGCTGATCTAAAACTATATCAGCTCCTTTCTTGGTACTCACATCCTACATGGTCCTTCTGAACATTTTGTTTATACAGATATGGTCGATTTGATTCTGAGTAGTGTGGTGCAGTGAAATTCATGCAGCTTTGTGTATGTGTTTATGTGAGAATATGGTGCGGACTATGACCAGTTTGTTGAAGGCACGACATAGTGAAACAAAAATGAAGTGAGTGAACAACACTGATGGACACCACTTGAAGTGAAGAATTCCGGTATCAGTTCGCTATCAGCTGTTCATCAACCTGTGGTTTTCGAGTAGAGAGCTTGTATAAGGTTGATGTACATCTCCAGTACACCTTCTAATTACAGACAATGCCACTGAACCTGACGATCAGCAGAGTCGAATGGTGCATATAGCTCCGTAAGCCAACTGTTTTTAGCCGCGACAATATAGTATCCACCCCGGTGTCTTTCATTTTCATTCAGTCTACCTACTCGAGCCATTATCACGATATCACAGCGCTTATCATTTTGAAGACGAATAATTAGGTTTCTATAAAATTTATCTTTCATATATATATATATATATATATATATATATATATATATATATATAACGAAGGGGCATAGGTGGATGCACCTATCAGAAATACGAAGTGTTAACCTTGGGTTGATGGAGAAGATAAGAGAGTTATTAGGAGATGCAGAATGAATCGGATTATGGTCTTGTGTGTTTCGAGAGTTGATGTTACTCCACGGTTGCCCATAAAGTGAAAGCAGGTTTCTTAAGGAACCTGAAAAGAAGAGAGACTGGCATTAGTCTTCGTTATCTGAGATCGTGACCTCAGAGACTAAGGGACAACTGCTTGAGGCCAGTCAAGCACGGCCGTTTTGTGAAACGTTTTTTCAAGATTAGCAGCGCTCGTTTCAAAGCCTTTAGTGGGCAGACCTTACCGAGGGATACGGAAATCCGTGAGGGAGGGTGAGGTGTGACATTTTGAGGGTCCACCTTTCATTACTCTCCCTTCGTTGCGAGAAGGCAGCCATGCTGCAGATGCTGTTTGTTTGAAGAAAACCATTTACTGCTACCACACCCTTCAGCAGTCAGCAGTACAAGCTAAAGGCTGAGAAGCTGCTTTTAGTATCAACGTTCTCCAGTCGACCTGCATGGCGTAGGATTACGTACAGGAACATGTTTTCTAGTCAATATATCTCGGTTGGGTCATCACGATAGGCAGGCTCGACCACCACGCTAGGTAGCAGCTACGACCGGGATATAAACGTGAACAATAACTGGAAAGAACTACAAAGGGAAGCCCAGGATAGATTTTGTTGTACACAACAGCTCGACTGCCCATGCTCCATTGTGCCTAACAGGTATGAGTAGGTAAGCAAGTGATCACCTGACACAATGGATGCTGTAAAATCTGAATACTTTAGTCTATAACATGGGCAATAAATTGCACACACACAATAGGAACACATTTAAATTACTTCTACTGCAATATGCATAAAACAAATCAATTTATGTCATCAAAATATTATTTCTGTAGATGTCATCAGTTTGAATTTAAATATCCTTCAACGTTTCATTCGCCAATCTTGTACGAACTTCGACAAAGTTATTTTATTCAAAACAATTAAATTTTGAAGGATATATATAACGTTGAATAATCGAATAATGATAACATTAAGTGTTTAGCCTGTCGTTTTTAGATGATGACCTTATTAAGTAAACCATAATGAGTGAAGTCAGATGTGAAAGCAATGGAAAGTTCATAAAATTTACAAAAATTAAACTAATACATGCATGAGTCTGCTTTACTTAGTATAATTATAATTTGCGGCTAAAATGTAAAAAACATGAAGTCGATATAAACAACTAGATTTTGAAAGCATGTAAATGAAATGTTGAAGAATTACATTTTCCCCTGTTCTGTTTTGATAGCTTCTTCAATTTGTTTGCAAGTATTACTCAAGGCAGCGAGATCTTTGACAACATACTCTATATCTTTGTTCGCTGTATACTTTATTTGATTGAACATAGTTTCGAATATTTCACCCCAATTGATCTAGTCGAAATAAATGAATTGTAACAAATTCAAAAAAAGTGTAATAACGTATATCATATTGTATGAAGATGAACATTCAATATCATTCAGCTTATCTTGATCAACTAAACTGAATGTAATAGATTCCTATACAATCAAGAGAAATTTTTTCAGTTTAACACGGACAAGTTGTGAAGCATTCATTGAATTATTATTGATCAAGATGATCATTGGTATGTCATCTCGAATACAGCATGAAATTCCGTTGGTCGTTATTTCGCAAACTGAGGAAATTCAATAGTGTATTTGATTATATGCATGTTATACAACAAAACCCGATGAAGTTGTCTAATTCAACCCATTTCTATTGGTTATAACATTTTTTGAATAAACTACGATGAAAAACTGATCGTTTACATGACGTGTATTGACTAAATAGAATGTTGTTTTTGTGCGTCATTATTTTGTGTCATACGTGAAAAATGTTATGTATTTATTCTGGACAAAGTATGTTGAAGCCGTGAGAACACTGTGTCGAAAGATCTGATTCTTCGAAAATTTTATAAAAGAAGTCTTAGCAAGATTATACGCAGCCTAGTAAGAATATACGTCAATGGAATTTATATGGTGGCATATTGAATTGAATGCTAATTCCATATGAAATGAAAATACACCAACATAACAAAATCGTAAATCAATGTAGAGAATGCATATTATCCGTTATCCTAACTAATACGAACACTCGGAGTGTAGACGGTGTTAACGTTTGACTCCTTGACCTTGTTTGTCAGTTTACTACATGTCTAATACAACATTGAAACATTCTATCCATAGATCATCTAGGATTTTCACAGAATGAAGTCACTGACTTCCTCCAACCTGATGAATGCTTGAGACGTCTTTATACAGACAGGCACAAACATGTGTATAAGATCAGCCTTTTTAGTATGAAATTGTGAAAGTGATGAAACAGTCAGTTTAGGATTTGTGTGACAGTTCCACAGTTCCACCCCATTCTATCAGATAACTTTCGAACCAACGTAAAAGTAAACTGAACATTTTGTTAAGATTAATTCTTAGTAAAACGAAGAACACTGAGCAAGCTTACTACTTGAAAAAGTGTACAAGTCTCAACTTACTATACGACAGCGTTCATTCAATTCCATGACCGTGACTATTTTATCTGTGGCATTTTCTGATGTCTGAAAATGGACAATATTTCAAGATAATTATCATGTTCAGCTTTTCAATGCATGATGATATACGACAAAT